TGGGGGAGATACCTGTGCAGGCTGAATATAAGGGCAGACGCGCCCGGTGTTTAGGGTTTAGGGTTTAGGGTTTAGGGAGGAGATACCTGTGCAGGCTGAATATAGGGGTAGATGTTGCCTGAAGCTACCAAAACCAACCTTTTTGTAGGGTCCCTCTAAATTGCATAGTAGGGTTTCTAAGAAGAACCAGGGTTTGGTAGTTTAAGGTAGGGCTTGGGGTTTGGAGTTGCGTTGCCTTTCGTTCTTGGGGAGTGTTGGGCAGGGTTTATAAATTGCTTGGGTTTAGGGTTTAGGGTGCTTTGGGGTTTGAGGGTTGGGGTGTAGAGATTCGGGCTTAAGGTTCGGAAGTTGTGTTTAGGATTGTGTAGGGTTTAGGTGATCGGAAGTTTAGACAGTCTGTGCCGTTTATAGCAGGTTGCAGTTCATTTATGGGTCGGTTCTAGAATGCGGGACAGCTCCAGGGAGCAGTGAGGGTTTGTGGCTAATATAGGGGCCTGAAACTTTCGAATAGGGTTTTGGGGCCCTTCTACTATAATCATAAAGATAAGGAGCCACCCAACAAAATAATATAGGTAACTATTTAGGCCCCTTTATGATTAAGCTGTTTGGTCTTGGCGGCTTCGGGTTGCTGGAGGTGACAAGTACTGTGTGCATTGGTGACCTCGCACCATTTTGCGCTGTGTAACTTGTCACGTTGTGTCATGCGGTTGGTAGGGTTCCTTAATGTAGTTGCGCTACAATGATCGGCAAACCCTCTGCTATGTTTTATTTACGGCCTCTGACCGCCTTCAGACGTAGAGACGTGTGCAGTGGCGACGCGCTGCGACGAAAGAGGGTTAAGACCTCCCACTGATGTTAGTATAGGGGCCTGAATAATTGGAATAGGGTTTGGGGTGTGTTATACTTAATAATTACAATAAGGAACCCCCCAAAACCCTATTTTAATCATTAAGGCCCCTAAACCCTGAACCCTAAACCCGAAACCCTGAACCCTAAACCCTAAACCCTAAACCCTGAACCCTAAACCGTTGCTAAGGCCACTACATTGGTTAATTGGGTTTAGGGTTTAGGGTTTTAGGGCTTTAGGGTTCTAGGGCTTTAGGGTTTAGGGCTTTAGGGTTTAGGGTTTTAGGGTTTAGGGTTTTAGGGTTTTTTGGTTTAGGGTTTTAGGGTTTTAGGGTTTAGGGCTTTAGGGTTTTAGGGTTACCCGTTTCTAGGGTTCAGAGATGGTTCCGGTCGCAGGCCGCTCCGAGGTTCCGCTTCCCAAAAAACCCTAAAGGTCGAAGTGCCTAAATTTCATATACTCTGGGTGTAGGGTTTAGGGTTTATAAGGTTTAGGGTTTAGGGTTTATAAGGTTCAGGGTTTAGGGTTTAGGGTTTAGGGTTTAGGGTTTAGGGTGTTCAGAAAATAGGGGACCCTAATACAGTACCCTAAATAGTAGGATCCTTATTATAAGGACCGCGAAATAGGGTACCCTAATTTTCGGAAACTCCCAATATAATCTTCTGAATACTAACCTACAAAACTACTATCCGTATCCCAAGTACATGATTTGTTAGGGCCTTAACCCAGAGGGTCCGAGTACCCAAATAGTAAGGTTTCAGGTCCCAAAATCCATACTCTGAATGGTTTTTGGACCTTGAAACCCTACTATTTGGGTACTTGGACCCTTAGGGATTATATATTAAGGATTCTATAAGGTATCCCCCAAAAGGAACTACAATGGAGACTATAGGT